AAAAAAAAAAAAAAAAAAAAAAAAAAAAAAAAAAAAAAAAAAAAAAAAAAAAAAAAAAAAAAGTAAACGAAGAAGACGACGCGTCGGAGAAATCCTTCCTTTCCCAGTTTTTGTTTTGTTTTACGTGCTAAAACTACATGTCGTAAAATTGTGATGGTTTGGTTTATTTCTAAGATATTTCAATCCTGGAACCCAGTTTTTTCCCAAATTGCATTTCGGACCCTACTCAGATCTCTCCCTTTCAACGTCCTCCCAATTCCTTCCTGCACCGAAAACGACGCCGTTCTCGACCTCGCCAAAAACTCGTGAGGCGGTACTCTCATTTCCTCGTCGCCGTCGCTTTCCTCCTCCAAATCCCCCTCGTATTCCGAGCTCCGCTCCTCTCTATACTCCTCCTTCAGAATCTTCGACCAATCCGGAATATTCACCGGCAGCGACGACGCTCCACCTCCGCCGCCCTCCCCCCGTTTCGACGAACCTTTCTTCGATATCGACGTCCCCGGAGTTGGAGATCTCCGCCTCTCCGGAGACTCCGAACTACCGAGGTTGAAAATGTCCGATTCGTTGAATTCAAACGACAACTCCGACGTGAACGAGTGCGGGCGGCGGTGGTGGCCGGTGAGAAAACGGTAATCGGAGCGACCGTAACAGTTTTTTCCGGTCGCCATGAGAATCAACGGCTGTGTATTTTCTTTTTTAAACGAATTTCTCTAATCAAAGACCCAAATCGTTGGGGTTCAGATTACATTTGGTTAAGCCCTTTTTATAAAGCCTTTGGGGTGGGGGAGAGACAACGGTGGGGCCCACGGGGTTTTCATTACTGATAATGGATAAGGCTTTATTATTTTCACTATTCAGTTGTACGTATGAATTTACCAAAAACTCCCTGCGATTTTCATGCAAATGCCACGTTGGATATTTCAATTATCCACTCATATTGCTTAATAAAGGATTCTGTGAATCGCACCCCATGATAATCGGGGAAGGACAGCTCGTCGGTGTCAACCGACATGTAAATGAATGGCGTCGATAATAGCCACGTATGAGGTGGAGATTAAGCCTAGCCTATTGTGTCACGCAACTCGGATGGGCCGGGAGAGGGGTATTTTGGGAAGAGGAAAATGGCTGGAGTCAATTTTTGTCGCGACGTGAGTTGGGTTATTTACTTTCTTTTGAAAGACTTGAGATTTGGATAAAGAGGAAAGTTTAAAGCAAGAGGGGAGATTTTCAATTGGATAATTTTATTTTATTTTTTATTTTTTATATTGAGTCCAAAACGACACGTGGCGATATTCTATTGTAGGCGATGGAAGAAGTATGATTGCACGTGATGTAGGCCCCACGCTTGGATCTCGTGCGTTTGCTTGCCAGCTGGCCTCGTTACACTCTTGTCCTCTCACAAATGACAACCCCAAAATATCCCCTCCATTTTTCAATATCTCGTTATTTCTGATTATCTCACGATAAACTCATTACTTTTTAGTTTTAATGTCCTCATGGGCTTTACTTTCTCAGGCCTGGCTTAAACGTCAATGTACAGGCCCAACAGTTTGTTGAATTGGGCCTGGGCCCATTTAGAGCTCGACACTATGGACCTTTTCGGTTTCATGGGCTCTGTTCCTCAACAAGCCCAATAATTTACTTACATCTATTTGATCTATTAAATTTTAAATGAGATAATTTAATTCAAAAATATTAATTTTATATATTAAGTTGTATTTTAATTTCTTTTTCTTTTTCCATCCATTCCTTTTCTTATCATTCCTAGACAAGTCTATGAGGTAGAGCAGAAATGGAAAGTCTTTTCTGTCTCCATTTTTGTCACCTATTTCATTCGTCATTCTTACAAAATTTCTCATTTATTTGTGTAGAAATTCTACGTCAGAAATTTGTGTACGGGTTTCCCATGCCCGCTAGTAATTTTTTTCTTTTTTAAAAAATAATTATTTAAAAAAAGTTTCATTTTTTAATATAATATTAAAAATTGGTAAAAATCCTAACAAATTAATAATTGGAGTAAAAATTTAAAATTTAATACTACAACCTAATCTTTTTAAAATATTATAATTAGAGTTTGAAAATTAAATAATTTATTTTATATATATATATATATATACTCGCCGGGAGTTGGGTTGGATGGGGGCGGAGAATATAATGTTCCCCACTTCCTATTTATCGAGAAAAAATGTTCTTCACTCCCTCTCCATTTCTAATTTAAATGAAGAATTTCATTCCTATTCGTCGGTTTAGGGCATCTTTAATCATTCCTATCTCATGGCTTCTCTCGACAATTTTCATACGAACTCACTCTTAGGACCGCTCCACAACAAATACACTCAATCAAAATTAACGCAAAGAATAAGAGAGAGAAACTGAAGGACTCACTGGCCTGCTTTTAACATAGTCATCCATCTTTTCCCATGGAGATATACAAAACCCACAGCCATTAATAGCCATTAAAGAATCTCTAAAAGGCTTCCAATCCATGAAAATTTTCCGATTGATCTGATAGCAGCCACAGATGGTTAGAATTAACAAGGCCCCAACACCCACGCTGTTGTCGGCCACAGACACAAACAAGCATATTTTGTATGCTAAGACCCTCTCCGACAACGTCTATCACTACAGCTAGCCATACACTTGCGCTTTGCAGCCAAGCCATGAAACAGAGAATATAAGATAAGATCCATCTCAAACAACCACGAACAGCAAGAGAAATTATTTTCTAAAATTTTTTATACCATAAAAAATGATGCTCTAATACTATGTTAAGAATGAGAATCTTTCATACGGTCACTTTTGTTACATACAGTATTAATATAAATCATTTCCGCCTAATTTATTTTTATAAAAAAAAATTATTAAGATATCTCTTACTTTTTAATATTGTTTTAGTTCATTCATATATCATTTTATTATTGGAGTCTGGGAGTTAATCAGGGTAATAAAAAAATAAATTTAAAAATAAAAAATTCTTACCAATTTTGTTCCACAATTCTGGAGAATCGAGTTGTTATTACACACAATTAATGGAAGTGTGCAGAAATTAGCCAAATTCTTAAGATTTAAAATAAAATTAAAAATGAATTTATTATGCCCATTTAATTATTAAAAAATTAATTTGCTAAACTTACCTAACCGACCATGTCTGTCACACTCAATTTCGTCTATTTTTACTCCTAAATATTTATATTCAAAATGAATTATAACACGACACGTGTCGCTCTACAGCCCACATATTTTTTCCTTTGCATGAAGCCAAATCCCGTCATTTTAAAAGAAAAAGAAAAGAAAAAAAAACGGTTGAAAATATTGATTTAATTTGTGGATAAGATTGTTTTAGTTTGTGGAATTTGTCGAGTGGGCGGCTGCGATGCTCCATTTTCCGAATTAAACAATTTCAATATATATTATTTTAAATTAAAGTCGGTTTGTACGGTTGAATTTGCCACATATTTGAAGCTTTTTAGGGTTTATTATTATTTAAATATTTTAATCAGTTCTAAAAAAAATTATAAAAATAATTAATTTATGTGACGTCTCTCGACCATTACTTCGAAGTAAATTAACTTTTTTTAATTACAAAAATTAATCCCTTTAAAAATAGTATAGGTTCAATTATAATTTTTATTTATTTACTTAATACGTTTCTATTTTTTTAATTGTCTATTTAATCTTTTTGTTTATAAAATTTAATTCATTGCACGTTAAATATTAAAATATTAATACCTCTCGTTTGCAGTATAAGGTTTAAAATTATCACTGACACATAGTCTGATGTCTGACTCTAATATCATTTGTAACAACTAAAGTCCATCGCTAATATTGTTTGCTTTGGTTCATTATGTATCATCATCAGTCTCGTGGTTTTAATCCTTGTTAGAACACTGCCCAATATTTGGCTCTAATACCATTTGTAGCAGGTCAAGTCCACTGCTAGTAGATATTGTCCATTTTGGCTCATTACATATCGCCGTCAATCTCACGGTTTTAAAACACGTCTATTAGGGAGAGGTTTACACGCTCCAATCAATGTGGGACCTCATAATCCACCTCCCTTGGTGGGCCAGAGTCCTTGCTGGCACATTACTCGGTATTTGATTTTAACCCATTTGTAACACCCTGAGGCCACAACTAATAGATACTGTCCGATTCAACCTACTACGTATCGTTGTCAGTCTCATAGTTTTTAAATACATCTACTAGAGAGAGATTTTCACACTCTTAAAAAGAATTATTCGTTTCCCTTTCACGAACGTGTAATCAAGTGAAAACCACTCCAAATTATTAATAAAAAGCTTTAAATAAGTAATGGAACGATATAAATTAATATTTCTCTAATTATTTAAACACAACGATGACTTATAATTTTTGTTGCTTTAAATGCTCAATTTGTGTATTTTAATATATAATATTATCACGTATTATATTTATTATATAAATTCATATTAAAACGTGGATATTTTATTTACGTAAAATTTAGTCCAGGCATTAATTTCCTTATAATATCTTAATTATCGTCAACATATAAAATTATTATTTTTTAAAATAGAAAATTTGAAATAAGGTATGGTAGTGGTTGGACTAAATGATTGGTAATTAAAAACATAAGAATTAAACAATTAAAAAAAATATGGAAAATTGGAAATTAGGTGCACATTCCAGATAAGTTTATCTGGCCAATCGTCACCTAACAATAATTTACGATAAATTAATTAAATTTATATTTGCTGTCATTTCTTTAATAATAATAATAAAATAAAAGTAATAAAAATTGATATTAATTATTTTTTGGTGAGTTAATAGTAATGTTGGAATTAATAAAAATTTATAATTTTTGTTTAATATTTATATAATTCATCAATTATTTTATTTTATAATTATGTCATAGCTCATTTAAATATTTATTTCGATTAGAAATAAAAGTTGTTAAAAGGTAAAATATAAATTAATTTAAAAAAAATATGTAAGAAAGTAAATAAAATGACAACCAAATGGCGCTAGAATGGCATATTTAATTAGTTACTATTATTAAAAAAAAAACAAAAAACAAAGCAAAAGAACATATTTAAAATATATAAAGCAGTGGGTTTTGTTTGTATGTTTTGCGTTCATGTCCATATTCGTGAGCGTGGGGTCGGGGATGATGCAAATTTACCAATTTGCCCCTGAGTGATTAAGACATGCGTAAAACAGCAAAGATCCGTTGGATTGGTTTTGTAAGATTGCTAAATAGCCGTTGAATCGGAAGACTTTTCTAATTTTAATAAATTCAATAAAATAAATTTCTACGAAAAAACCTAATTTTCGTTTTATTTTAGTTTATTAAAATTATTTGGAAAGAAATTAAAAAAATTTAAAATTAATGGAATTTTAAGACTTTATTAAATAGTTAAAAAAAAAAAAAGGCGGTAAGGGGACCATTTCCAATCTTACCCTTACAATAACTCTATCAGGAGCCGTTGGAGGCGGGAAGTGGGGCCCAGTGCAAGCGAAATTAAGCTCATTTGGGCGGTTCATAATTAATCCTATTATTTCCTTAATTTCATTATCATTATCACATCACTCTCTCACTAAACATTACATTACACATTTAATTATAATTAACTCTCACTAATCATAATTCATACCCATCCCCCGTCTCCTTCCTTCTGGTACTTTCTTCCCTTGTCCTTAAATACCCTTCCCCCCTCCTCTTCCCATTCTCATCGCCACACTTCCCGATTCATCGCCGATTACTCTTTCTAAACCTCTGTCAAACATGGCGAAGGACGTTGAAGCAGCCGAGCAAGGCGAATTCCACGGCAAGGACTACCAAGACCCACCCCCCGCCCCTCTAATCGACCCCGACGAGCTCACCAAATGGTCCCTTTACCGAGCCGCCATCGCCGAGTTCATCGCTACTCTCCTCTTCCTTTACGTCACCGTTTTGACCGTCATCGGCTACTCCCACCAAAGCGACCCTAACGTCTCCAAAGACCCATGTAACGGCGTCGGAATCCTCGGCATCGCCTGGGCCTTCGGTGGCATGATCTTCATCCTCGTTTACTGCACCGCCGGTATCTCCGGTGGCCACATTAACCCAGCTGTCACTTTCGGCCTCTTTTTAGCTCGTAAGGTGTCCCTCGTTCGAGCTTTGTTGTATATAATTGCTCAATGTGCCGGCGCTATCTGCGGCTGTGGCTTGGTCAAGGCCTTCCAGTCCGCCTACTATGTTAGGTATAACGGCGGCGCTAATATGCTCGCCGATGGATACAACAAAGGCACTGGTTTGGGAGCTGAAATCATCGGTACATTTGTTCTTGTTTACACTGTCTTCTCCGCCACTGATCCCAAGAGAAACGCTAGAGATTCCCATGTTCCTGTAAGTACAACAAACCCACCACCCCTGTTTTTTAAACCCTCCCCTGTTTTCATCTTCTTCAACTAACCAATACTCTGTTTTCTTCAAGGTCTTGGCGCCACTCCCAATTGGATTTGCAGTGTTCATGGTTCACTTGGCTACAATCCCCATCACCGGAACTGGTATTAACCCAGCAAGAAGCTTCGGAGCTGCTGTCATATTCAACACAGAGAAGGCCTGGGATGATCAAGTAATCCATCAATTTCACTTATTCAAACCTTCTTTCCTCTGTAATCAACAAATAATTAATGGGTTTTTGTTTGTTTCTTGTGTTCTTCAGTGGATTTTCTGGGTTGGACCATTCATCGGAGCTGCCATTGCTGCCATTTACCACCAGTATGTTCTCAGAGCTGGCGCCATTAAAGCTCTTGGATCCTTCAGAAGCAACGCTTGAAAAAGCTTATTCAATTAAGAAGATTGTGTATTGTTTTTGTTCTTGTTCTTGTTCTTGTTTATTATGATCATTAGTGATGGTGGAATTGGATCTCTCAAATTGTCGCTGCCTTCGTCCCAGCCTCCCCTGCCTCGCCGGAGTTCATCAAGAACATCAATTATTAGCACTGGAAATTGTACATATTTCCACTCCCACCGTTGTTGCCTTGCCGTCTTTTCTTGTGTTTTGTTCTTATCCTTTGTTTTATTAATAAAAGAATCTCCTTTATTATAATTAATATCTCTGTTTAATGCTAATAATCATAATTAAAAGTATTAATTTTGAGCTAAGAGGATTACTTAAAAAATCCAAGCTTTGAAAACGACAGCACATGGATTAGAATCGACGGGAATTTGTGGCGGAGGTCGTAGTGGGTTCTGGAATTCTTATCCATATATCAATTAAATAAATTAAATAATAATAATAATAATACCCAAAAATGTTATAAAGCTAAGTTTTAATACACTAAATGTGTCACATAATCTTATCTTTAAACCGGTTATGATTTCATTTTATTAGTAGGTGAGGTCTAGCTGTTATATTATATGGTTTAATTGAGCTAAGATGATGACAAAATGGGCAATTTAATTTAAACTAATTTAGTGGTAGAGTTGCCTTTTAGAGGACCTACCAACTACCTTTAAACTTTATATTTGGCGTGATGATTGTATTATTATTTTGTGACAGCGTTTCAAATATTCCTTCTTTCTTTTTTTTTTTTTCTCGAGTATTTATTGATCTTCGTGTTTTCTTTTTTGGAATTATCTGCAGTCGTTGTCACTTACATGAAAAAAAAAGGCGTTTGTTTTGTAGATAGACACTAGAGATGAGGGTGATGTTGTAAAATCAATATCCACGTTCGACGACTGTGATGGTAACTGCTCAAGTCCATCTTCCAGATTTCCCTCAAGATTTTAAAATTTTAAGGCTGATAACGATATGTAACGAATCAAAGTAGACAATATCTGTAATGACCCAAATTCACAACTAGCAGATATTGTCTTCTTTCGGCTTCCCCTCAAGGCTTTAAAACGCGTTTGCTAGGGGAAGGTTTCCACACGCTTATAAATGNGCCATCGCCGAGTTCATCGCTACTCTCCTCTTCCTTTACGTCACCGTTTTGACCGTCATCGGCTACTCCCACCAAAGCGACCCTAACGTCTCCAAAGACCCATGTAACGGCGTCGGAATCCTCGGCATCGCCTGGGCCTTCGGTGGCATGATCTTCATCCTCGTTTACTGCACCGCCGGTATCTCCGGTGGCCACATTAACCCAGCTGTCACTTTCGGCCTCTTTTTAGCTCGTAAGGTGTCCCTCGTTCGAGCTTTGTTGTATATAATTGCTCAATGTGCCGGCGCTATCTGCGGCTGTGGCTTGGTCAAGGCCTTCCAGTCCGCCTACTATGTTAGGTATAACGGCGGCGCTAATATGCTCGCCGATGGATACAACAAAGGCACTGGTTTGGGAGCTGAAATCATCGGTACATTTGTTCTTGTTTACACTGTCTTCTCCGCCACTGATCCCAAGAGAAACGCTAGAGATTCCCATGTTCCTGTAAGTACAACAAACCCACCACCCCTGTTTTTTAAACCCTCCCCTGTTTTCATCTTCTTCAACTAACCAATACTCTGTTTTCTTCAAGGTCTTGGCGCCACTCCCAATTGGATTTGCAGTGTTCATGGTTCACTTGGCTACAATCCCCATCACCGGAACTGGTATTAACCCAGCAAGAAGCTTCGGAGCTGCTGTCATATTCAACACAGAGAAGGCCTGGGATGATCAAGTAATCCATCAATTTCACTTATTCAAACCTTCTTTCCTCTGTAATCAACAAATAATTAATGGGTTTTTGTTTGTTTCTTGTGTTCTTCAGTGGATTTTCTGGGTTGGACCATTCATCGGAGCTGCCATTGCTGCCATTTACCACCAGTATGTTCTCAGAGCTGGCGCCATTAAAGCTCTTGGATCCTTCAGAAGCAACGCTTGAAAAAGCTTATTCAATTAAGAAGATTGTGTATTGTTTTTGTTCTTGTTCTTGTTCTTGTTTATTATGATCATTAGTGATGGTGGAATTGGATCTCTCAAATTGTCGCTGCCTTCGTCCCAGCCTCCCCTGCCTCGCCGGAGTTCATCAAGAACATCAATTATTAGCACTGGAAATTGTACATATTTCCACTCCCACCGTTGTTGCCTTGCCGTCTTTTCTTGTGTTTTGTTCTTATCCTTTGTTTTATTAATAAAAGAATCTCCTTTATTATAATTAATATCTCTGTTTAATGCTAATAATCATAATTAAAAGTATTAATTTTGAGCTAAGAGGATTACTTAAAAAATCCAAGCTTTGAAAACGACAGCACATGGATTAGAATCGACGGGAATTTGTGGCGGAGGTCGTAGTGGGTTCTGGAATTCTTATCCATATATCAATTAAATAAATTAAATAATAATAATAATAATACCCAAAAATGTTATAAAGCTAAGTTTTAATACACTAAATGTGTCACATAATCTTATCTTTAAACCGGTTATGATTTCATTTTATTAGTAGGTGAGGTCTAGCTGTTATATTATATGGTTTAATTGAGCTAAGATGATGACAAAATGGGCAATTTAATTTAAACTAATTTAGTGGTAGAGTTGCCTTTTAGAGGACCTACCAACTACCTTTAAACTTTATATTTGGCGTGATGATTGTATTATTATTTTGTGACAGCGTTTCAAATATTCCTTCTTTCTTTTTTTTTTTTTCTCGAGTATTTATTGATCTTCGTGTTTTCTTTTTTGGAATTATCTGCAGTCGTTGTCACTTACATGAAAAAAAAAGGCGTTTGTTTTGTAGATAGACACTAGAGATGAGGGTGATGTTGTAAAATCAATATCCACGTTCGACGACTGTGATGGTAACTGCTCAAGTCCATCTTCCAGATTTCCCTCAAGATTTTAAAATTTTAAGGCTGATAACGATATGTAACGAATCAAAGTAGACAATATCTGTAATGACCCAAATTCACAACTAGCAGATATTGTCTTCTTTCGGCTTCCCCTCAAGGCTTTAAAACGCGTTTGCTAGGGGAAGGTTTCCACACGCTTATAAATGATGGTTTGTTTTCCTCCTCAACCAATGTGGGACGTCACAATATCTGCAAGAGGTGAGTTTGAGATGTTACAAATGGTATCAGAGTCAGTCATTGGACAATGTGAAACACTTGTCGGAGTAGGGCTAGACCCTCTCCATAATAGACGCGTTTTAAAAATAGCGAGACTGACGACAATATGTAATAGGTCAAAGCGGACAATATCTACTATCACTAAACATGTACTGTTATAGGAACCATACTGTTAGAGAATGTCGAAGTCGATCAGTTAAATCTAGATTACACTTTTTTTTTTTTTTTTTTTTTTTTTTTTTTTTTTTTTTTTTTTTTTTTTTTTTTTTTTTTTT